TAGTAAAGTTTCAAAGCTGTATTAAGTCAATGTTCAGTTGTAAACTTTTGAAAGAACAACCATAACGTTTTGTTCTCAGTTACAAACAACCTCCATTTCCAAGGTATTTGTAACTCTGAGGTTCTACTCAGAGCAATGAAGGGGTTAACAATGGGCTTTGACTAAAGGTAAGTGCAATTCTAGTAGTTCTGTTCAAAGCAATAGTAAAGATGGGTGCAAATTTCAGCTTTTTTACAAGAGCGTTGACCTGAAATGTTGACCCAGTTATGACCACCTTACTGACGTCTCATCATAGCTTTTTATTATAAGTATTATTCTGTGTTAGGAAGGAAAGCAAAGTCTCCAAGTTCATAAAGTCATAGCGAACACTGTATACTCCCCTGTGGCTGGTGCAGTATTAGTTCCCATTATCCAGAAATAAAATGTCTTATCAACCACAATTAATCATTTAATTCATTTATGAAAACTCTAAGGTCATTTTATTTAGAACATTTAATCTTTATGAACATTGATTGCGTTTAGGCACTTACATTTATAGTGTGCATATAATCCCTGGTTGGTACCTAACCTTACATATGCTGCATCCGGCAGAAAGAGCAATATCACTGCTTTATTTTTTATAATTCATTGCATAACCTGACAGATGTTAATTACAACTTAAAGTTAATCTGATTATTTCCCCTCATATTAAAAGTAGAACAAAGACCTATGATATTAAAGTCTAAAGATGAACATGCTGCCTGATGCTGAAAAGACTTATTCAGTCGTTAGTCACTTATGCTCAGGGATTTATTAGTCATGGTAATGTCTCTAATTAGTTGGAGGGTATAGAGCAAATTAGGGCACTTTTTGTCTAATTACAGTTAACCATATATATGTAGTTATTGTTCAGTTTATCATCATAGCTACCGTAATAAAAACCTCTGTTTAGAAATGAAATTTCTTTTTATGTATGGTGAGACTTATTTATGCTCCTTTAAATTTATTTTTATTTTAAAAGAATTCATAGTGAAGTCAAACTCAGTATCTGAAGTATAATGGGTGATAATTAGTGTAGTGCCATGGAACAGTAAATTTTTAATGTTTGAGAGTCTTATCAAATTCATTCTTAATCTTAGTGCCTACAAATATTCTCCAAAGGCTTCATAGAGAGTGGTCTTGTTTAGACAAATCACATTTATTTTCCATTACTTTACACTTCCCGTAATACACAGGAGGATAGAGATGTCATGCAGTGGAAGTACTGAAATATTCTGTGACTGAAACTGGAAGAAAATAAATATACATAAAAAAGTAAAATTGTCCTCTCTCCACTGGTTTTAGGAATGGATAAAGTTCTAGTGGTAAGGATTGTGGCAAAAGATGGGAGTGAAGGGTGGCTTTAATATACATGAGTATCAATAATTTATTTTTATTATGGCACAGTAATAAAAAGGTTTCTATCCCAAGACTGCCCTTGCCAGATATTCAAGCTATAGCCTTTAATTCAACAGTTCCATCTCTATGCCATAGAAAAAAATATAGCCACACAAGAAAATGAACAAAAATACCCCTTCCTTGAGCTAAAGACATAACTCCTTTAGCTATGAGTTGGTAGCTCTTAACTTTGGTGTGGGAAGGTCACTAAAAGGAGACATGATCATATCCACTTCATCTATTCCTTCAGAATTTAATGAAAAAGCCCCGATCCTTAAAGTGACTCCACTTGGGCAGATCCCTGCACCTCCATGGAGCCCTGCTGGTTTTAGTGAGTCTTTGGTAACTGCACCGAGTCACAGTTGCAGGGCTGGACCCTTTAAATAAAAAAGAAGAGGAAAAGGCTTGCTCCACAGCAGTGATGTCTCCTTCCAATGTACGTTTGTTGTAAATTCAGTCTAGCTACTCATTATCCTCAAGGAAAAAAGCAAAGAGAGTACAGAGCCCATACGCTCTTACTAAATTTAAGCAGTGATTAGAGTAACCAAGTAGGTAAAAACAGGGACAAAACATAAAATAATAGCAATTGGTAGTTCTGAAAAGATGAATGTACAGTTGCGAGACTTCTGTTAATACTCATTTTAGTGTTCAGTATGGAATTCCACTAATGGGAATCTTTAAATATTTAATAGCTGATATTTGTATAATGTCTGTACAGTACTGTAAAGATGTTAAGTGTTATGCGATGCCTTTCAAGTCTAAGGAACTAAAGTGATTTCCACACTATTACATGGGGAGCTGGCAGTGAACCCTGTATCTAGGTTGCCCAACACTTTCTATTATAAAAGATTCTTACAACTTTTTGAATAGTTATTAACACCTCAGTTGTTTGCTGTAGCCCTTTGATCTTTCCCAGGAGGCAAGCCCTGGGATCAGAGAGGTGCCTTTTGCTCATTCCATGAAAATCCATTCAGCTTTGGCTTAATTCTAAACCACTGAAAATAGGAATTTCCCTCTTGTGCCTGCTTTAATTTTGGCAGCAAGCCAAACACCATGAACGTTCTAAGGCCATGTCCTCACAACTGGAGCAGCAACATGTACTGCAATGGGACCCCCCAGGAACAGACTGAGCAGCCATAGTTGTTGTAGCAGGGAGGGGAAGAGAACACTGCTGGGCTCCCCCTGACCACCTGGACATCCAGCATGTCACCCTAGTAGCCCAGTCTTCCCTGTAGGGGCACTACATGAGACAGAAAAGTCTTTCCACCTCCCAAAGTGAGAGACAAAACCAAACTAATATTAATCATCATCCCAAAGCCAACACTTTCTGTGAAAAAAATAGTTTAGTTTTAATCCCAATTTTCAATTGGAAAAAAACAGTTTTGATAGAATTTTTTCTACCAGCCCTAATTATGTATTTTGAGAAATTGTAGGAGATCATCTGATTAAAGACTAATTTGGGGTATCTATACAAAGGGGCAGAATTAAGTTTAATCATTCATATTCTTGCAGTGTCATTTCCCGACTTCTTTGGATACTTGACTCTATAGGCTTAAAGTTTTCTCCATGTAGAACTTTTTCTTTTTGATTTTATTTTGATGAAATAGAATCAAGAGGGCTTGATTTATATGTGAATAACACTTTTAAGTTAGTTTAGACATTTAGGCTTAAGAACTTTGAAGATTCCCCCTTAATGATTAAAAATATGCATTGACTTTTGTAGTCATTTATAATAACACATCTTAATGGCATTAATTCATTATAGGAAAGTAAAACTTTTAAAACTAAAGGTGGGATTTTCCAAATCACCTAAGTGACTTTCAGTGAGACTTTTGATCATTAGTCACTAGAATATGTCTACACTACATTTTAAAACCTGCAGCAGCGACTCTCAGAGCTTGGGTCTACAGGCTTCTGCCACAATGCTAAAAACAGCGGTGTAGATTTCAAGTTTGGCCTGGAGCTCTGGCTCTGAAGCTTAGGCAGGGTGTTGGGGTTCAGAGAATGAGCTCCAGCCCAAGCTGTAAGGTTAACCCTGTTGTTTTTAGTGCCATAACACAAGCCCCAAGAACCCATGTCTGAAGGCCAGGTCTCTGAGACTTGCTGCTATGGGTTTTAAAATGCAATGTAGATGTATCCTTAGGCACTTCTGAAAAATCTTACACTAGGAGTACAATGGAAAGCAGTAATTTTTTTAAACAGTATTGATGTGCAACTTCTTCCAAGGATAATAATATAATTCCTTTTTGTTGCCTAAATACCTTTGCTTATCTTATCATTGTAACTATGACTTTTATGGGTTCCATATGCTCTATTATAATTAATGGTAGCCATTGTCTCTTTGTCAAGATACATTGTATGACTCCCATAGTTACTGCTGAGAGAAGGTGGGTGCGGTAATATCTTTTAATGGACCAATTTCTGTTGGTAAGCGAGACAAATTTTCGAGCTTACACAAAGCTCTTCCAATAAAAGGTATTACCTCACTCACCGTGTCTCTCTAATATCTTGGGATCAAAATGGCTACAACAACACTATAGTTACTACTATCAGTTTGATGCACTTTGTTTGATTAGAAGCCCACAGCAATTTCCTTGAAATACGTGGATGAGTAACATAGATTGCAAATGTTAGCAATGGAGAAATATTTAAGTCCACACTCATTTGATTCAAATGGAGAGAAAATTACTTCTAGGCAACTTTTGCCCTTTTGGAGATCATCTGAGTGGGTCAATAGACACATTCAAGCCACTACCATTTTTCTTCTGACTCAGTGATAAATTATAAATTGCTTCTTATCTAATTGAAGGGTAGATAATAATGGGCATGTAATTGTTTTCCTTGTGTATTTCTTCGATCTTGATAAAATGTCCTGATAAATAATTGGAACTAAAATAAATAATAGCACTCTTGCTGCCATATGTTTAAATGCAAATAAACTAATGAAACTGACACAACTTTTAGCTCCTAACTATGAACATTTAGTCATAAAAAATGCATACATTAGGAATCCTTGCTCATTATCTGGACTAAATAAAATAAATGTATTTGGTTTTAGAACATTCTGAGGCTTGAACCAAGTATTACCATATGGGAAATCTTGGTTTGGTAATGATGTCACTGGGCACTAGGAGAGATGGCGACATTAAGGTGATGGTCTTGATTTCTGAGAGACACCTACTCTCATGATTCAACACCCCTTAGAAACATTAAGATAGTGATTTAAATACAACAATTAAATTGGGAAAAGCTTACAAAAAATCAAACTAAAGGTAAAATTGCTGTCAAGACTTCATTCAACTTCACTTTATTTGTGATCTGAGTTATTGTTTCTGAATGGCAAACACTCTTCTTGACACATTTCTCACGTGGATGAGATATTAGGTTCTCTGTGCTGCCATAAAAATAAGCAATAAAATATATCAATTAGGTGTAACTATGTGCTGGCACCAGAATACGTTCAAATCTTTATTCTATATAATAACTAGGCTGCCATATTTACTCTTTTTATCATTTCATTCTTCATGCAGTGTGCATTTGTTTCACTGTTTTTCTTCCCTCATGTTTCATTGAACCACGCTTAGTGCTGATAAAGCAGATGATGAGGATGATGAAGATCTAACAGTGAACAAAACATGGGTACTTGCACCAAAGATTCACGGTGGAGATGTCACTCACATACTGGACTCTTTACTTCAAGGCTATGACAGTAAACTTCGGCCAGATATTGGAGGTAAGTTCATCTCACATATAGTAAATAGGAAATATGAACCAGAGAATGCAGACATTGCATGGGCTTTAATGAAATGGTGGCAAGTAGCTGTTTAAAAGTCAACTGTTCATAATTAATGTATCAAGCTAGATAAACAGAATGTAAATAACATGGAATGTGTGAAAATAACTTTCAACTTTTTTATAGCAAGTACAATAGAAATTGTATATGTCTGTTTTTTGTACTATGTAAAGTATTTAATTTTTAAGGCAGTATCAAATAGGTAACAAATTACTGCAATTCCAGGTTTGTTTTTTCATTTTGCTATTTTAAATGTGATACCTCTGATAAGAAGGTATTCCACATACAGAGCTCTCATTGACTGTCAGAAATCTACCCTGAAATCTGCAAATATTTATTCAAATGTTTCTACCCAGTATTTTTAGTCCTGTCGGAGATAACACAATGCAATCTGTTTCATGAACAGGTTTAACTCAACTCACTGTTACTACTTATTTGTATCTAATCATGGAACACCGTAATACCAGGGAACAAAATATATCAGAAGGACACAACAGGTCATGCTGGTGAGGGAGTGGAACTATATGTGAAAGAAAGTATAGAAGCAAATGAAGTAAAAATCTTAAATGAACCAAAATGTACCATAGAATCTCTATGGATAGTAATTCCATGCTTGAATAATAAGAATATAGCAGTAAGGATATACTAGCGACCACCTGACCAGGATAGTGATAGTGACTGTGAAATGCTCAGGGAGATTAGAGAGACTATAAAAATAAAAAACTCAACAATAATGGGGGATTTCAACTATCCCCATATTGACTGGGTAACTGTCACCTCAGGATGGGATGCAGAAATAAAGTTTCTTGACACCTTAAATGACTGCTTCTTGGAGCAGCTAGTCCCGGAACCCACAAGAGGAGAAGCAATTCTAGATTTAGTCCTAAGTGGAGTACAGGATCTGATCCAAGAGGTGAATATAGCTGGACAGCTTGGTAATAGTGTCCATAATATAATTAAATGTAACATCCCTGTGGCGGGGAAAACACCACAGCAGCCCAACACAGTAGCTTTAATTTAATACACAAAAATAAGGAATTTAGTTAAACAGAAATTAAAAAGTACAGTGCCAAAGCCTCTCTGGCTTTAAGATTAAGCTTGATAAGTTTATGGAGGGGATGGTTTGATGGGATAAAGTGATTTTAGTCAATAGGTCAATAACGTGCAATGGCTGGTATTTAGTAACAATGATCAATGATGGGATATTAAAAGTTACTACAGAGAACTTTTCCAGAGGGTCTGGCTAGAGAATCTTGACCGCATGCTCAGGGTTCAGCTGATCGCCATATTTGGGGTCGGGAAGGAATTTTCCTCCAGGGGAGATTGGCAGAGGCCCTGGAGTTATTTCACATTCCTCCGCAGCATGGGGCAGGGGTCGCTTGCTGGAGGATTCTCAGCGATTTGAAATCTTTAAATCATGATTTGGGGACTTCAACAGCTGAGTCAAGGGAGAGAATTCTTCCAGGAGTGGATGGGTCAGCTTTTGTGGCCCACATCATGTGGGAGGTCAGACTAGATGATCATAATGGTCCCTTCTGACCTTAGAGCCTATGAGTCTATAAAAGTGAAATCATTGCAAGCTGCATGGAAACTTTTTAAGACACCATAATAGAGGCTCAACTTACATGTATATCCCAAATTAAAAAACAATAGTAAGAGAACT